TCCTGTTTTGGAAATCCCCAAAACACAGGTCACAAAGATTCAACCACGTATTTTGCTTCCACAACCATGCAGCATGCTGCAGTCACCAGGCTGCTTCACTCAAAAATATTGTTCGCCCAAGTAACAACACAGGCATAACAAGAAAATATTACGTGAAGTGAAATGACACTGCAAACCTGCGGACCTTGCACGAGGCTGGACACTTGACAAGTGCATGTAGTTATGGTAAAATGGGCGAAATGCAAGGAAGAGATGAAGCTGCCAGTGCACACAAGGCTCATGATGACAATATTATTAAGTGCTATCCAAGAAACTAGCAACAATACTTTTCACCTTTCTCAGCACCCAGCATCTCGTACAGATGCAATGACTATGATCTTGATGACTCTTGCTTGTATACAAAATTTTTAAGACCATAGTGTGTGCATCCATAATAATACAATACTATGTTTTCAGAATTTTTAAGGGAGAGACGATTTAGCGAAGCCGTATCATGCGAGCTTACACCAAGCATGTGTATTAATGAGCTGTGCGGACCTGTCCGTACTGCCGGAATGAATTGCTAATGCAATGACAGGCAATGAGCTAATTACATGTTGTAATGCCTCAATAGGTTCAAAATGTTGGCCAGATCATATAGAAGAAGACAACTGCCTTTGAACACCCCTGCAGCATGGCTGCTAGTGTTTCTGACAGTTTGCCGACATTACGACCTTGTCATGCTCAAACGCAAACCTAAAGATAGAGGCAGGTATAAATATATCATATTTTATTGGGAGTCGATAGATTCAAAGAATACCAAAACAATATTCTCTCCCAGAAGTATAAACCTCGCACGCACACTCGCCATCACATCAAGATCAGTACGAGCCACTGGCACGCATCACCAGTGATCACACCCATTTCAAGCGCCTGATCCGCACTCTTATGTTATATAAATGTGATCCCACACTTGTACAGCCTACGGAACCATCAAACTGCAGGTTTCTCGCAATTCCCGCACAGGTTTTCGATTATACCACTGTATTTCACCGCGAGCTCCCTCCAAAACAAAGTCCCAACAGGGGTTGATGGTAATGCAACTCAAGAGGTTGTACTTGTAGGACACAATTTCTTTCGTTCAAAATTTACATTTGTCATACGATATGTACTAAATATTTAGTGAAATAGAAGTCTAAAATAACTGTATTGTTTCCACGGTTTTATAATGACTTGCGAACCCATAAACTGGTGCAAGGTTCTTTGCTCCGGTGCACAAGCCGTCAGTCGAGCTGTCAATTACTCCTGATTAAGAAAGGAATACACCTCTCTTAATTTCGTGTCAGTGCGGGGCACGGTATCTCGCATAGCAGCATAGGAACTGCAAGTGTTCTATTTTCAGAAAAATTTGACCCGTAGCCTATTTCTACTTGGGATCATAGAATTTCCTCCCAGTTGCGAAATCTAGTCAAGACCAACATACTATTTTGTCATCATGCAGCTATTTTTACTTGTGTAGGCTTTACGTCATTTCTCTGACAATGAAAGCGAACGAGATGTATTCAAGGGAGTGTTCCACATTGATATGGGATGTTGAACTGAACTAGCCATCTTGAGGATCTTTCGGTGCTGTTCACAATCCTGCCATTCTTAAGATCAAAGCCCATCTAGTTTCTGAGCTGCACACCCGCGAAAATGGGAAAAAGTATATCGGGAAGAGTATTTGAGTCACTTTGACATTCAAGATTTCATAATGACATTCAGTTTCTGTCATTCCGTAAACCGTGCGGTGATCTAGGCCAGGAAAATACATTTGTGAAGGCGTTCACATCCGGCGTTAATGAGCGCGAGTTCCATATGTAACGGCCGTCAATTGGCTCTCAATGTTGCGCGAGGTGCGATGAAGTAATCAAGTCGTGCCATTGAGGGACATATTTACTAAACAGAGAATTGTGCTGTCTAGAGTGAGCTTTTCCACTTTAAAGCATATCAATGGTTATAAGTGAGCTTGTTTCATGATACATGCTGCTTGCTTTAATATCTTTAAATGTGCAAAAAATTTTTTAGACGCATTCGGGTAGAGGTCAAACTGCCCCGCCACGAAGGTTTTTTTCTGGAATGATTTCCGAACGGCGCGGTGTGGCGGCGTCATATTTTGAATAGCTGTAGGCAGTTCAATAGAGCATGGCGTGGTATCAATAATTGGACATACCTTGTAAGGTCGGTGAGCTTTGGCCGGTCAAAGTTACGCCGTGGATTCAGCGAGGGCATTTGCAAGAGGATCGTTCAATCTGATGGAACAACGGAGCGTTAGACGAAGCCATACATCCCTGAGACACATTCTTAGGAAACACAACAATCAAATGACCAAATTCCATTGACGTAAGGTCAGATACGAAGGTCAGACCAGTCTTGCTGTTTGCCGTAGTTTCTGGTGCTCATTCCGTATTTATTGATAACATAAGCCGCATTAGACATCTTCTATGGACTAATTATAGGTCAGAATAGGTCACTGGCCTGAAATGACAGCTCAACATTTCGTTTTTATCAGCATACTGCCTGTTCTAATCTTTGCGGCGTATTCAAACGCAGAAATCAAAGCCGTCTTCCTTGATTTTGGTCACTATGACGTTCAGAAGGTCAAATAAGGTCGCTGACTTTGAATGAACGTGTGATCTTTTGCTAGAACAGGTTTCTAGGTTCTGGGGAGAATTTGGAGACCAGCTCGGAGTTTGACCTTGTTTGACCTTATTTGACCCGAATGTCAAAACCTAAGAGGCTCAAACGTTGACCTAAGTGAATTGACCTACAGGTCAACGCATCCTGCAAATCTGATGTGTTTGCTCTCTTAGTTCTTAAGATCTCAGCGGGGTCAAATTGACCCCCAACCGAGCAAAGGATACCCAACCGGCCACCGGGGGTGTGTGCTAAAGACATCTAGCACAGTTCATTTGATGAAACATAGGAAGGCATTTCATGCACGCACATAAAGCCTGAAGACATCCCAATTTTAAATCTGACATCAACCCCATGTTATTCATAGACAAGCATTGTCAAGCATTGGCCAGATCGTATTGAAGGAGAAAATTGCCTTTGTACACCCCTGCAGCATGGTTGCTAGTGTTTCTGACAGTTTGCCGACATCACGGCCTGGACATGCTCAAACGCAAACCTAAAGATAGAGGCAGGTATAACTATATAAAATTTTATTGGGAGTCGATAGATTCAAAGAATACCAAAACAATATTCTCTCCCAGAAGTACAAACTTTGCACGCACACTCTCCATCACATCAAGATCAGTACGAGCCACTGGCACGCATCACCAGTGATCACACCCATTTCAAGCGCCTGATTCGCACTCTTATGTCATATAAGTGTGATCCCACACTTGTACAGCCTGCGGCACCATCGAACTGCAGATTTCTCGCAATTCCCGCACAGGTTTTTGGTTATACCACTGTATTTCACCGTGAGCCCCCTTCAAAACAAAGTGCTAACTGGGGTTCATGGCAATGCAACTCAAGAGGTTGTACTTGTAGGACACAATTTCTTTTGTTTAAAATTTAAATTTTCCGTACGATGTGTGCGAAATATTTAGTAAAACATAAATATAAAATAACTGTATTATTTCCCTGGTTTTATAATGACTTGCGAACCCATAAACCGGTGCAAGGTTCTTTGCTCCGGTGCACAAGGCGTCAGTCGAGCTGTCTGTAACGTACCTACGTCAGAAGAAGAAGAAAAACGCCAGCAGGAGAAAAAATTCAGATTTGCTGTCGCGTGTTCCTTTTCATAGCATTCGGGAGAGTGCCGTTCTTTTTTTCGGCGCCATACTTTTTTTGCAGACGCTGGCGTTCTTTTCTATGATATTGACATATGGCCTGGAAATAAGGAAAAATCCTCATTGACGAGTAGTGCCGCACAACCCGAAAGTACCTCACGGTTACGTTCGCGACACGCATTCAGCAGCGAAATTTCTTTAACAGCTAGTCATCTTCTACGGATTGTATCATACCTGCCGCATCACCGTTTTTGCGAATGTACCAGTGACCACACTGTTTTGACCATAAGCAGAAAACAACCTGTAATATAACGGCGATCTATAACGTCTGCATGACGACACCAATGCCAGGGTGACTTTGTAGTAGTCTCTCAAAAAACGTTTTCCCATTTTTGCAGGCGTGTAACCCAGGAACCAAAGAATTTTAGGCCTTAAAAGGCATGGGCATGAACTGCATCAAAAGGTTCTCAAGATGACTATTTCAGTTGGAAACCCCATATAAAGATGGAACACTCCCTTTAAGGAGTCAGTCCCTGAAAGCCTGGAGACACCCCACCTTTAAACTCTGAAATCCTCCCCATGCTATTCATAGGTAAACATTGTCTGGCTACAGGGTATCAAATGCATCCAACATCACTATTAGCTGGGAGATTAATTGAATGTGATGTGTAGAACAACATGATGGGCTTTGCAGCACTCCCAGAAGGTACCAACTACACATTGACGTTTTGCAACATTCAGTAGAAGTTTTGGGTCTAAATCAATGATTGGCTTCTTGAGTGAATCCTGATTACATGTACATCCATCCCAGTCTAATATTGACAGCTATATGCAGCAGGGGTATCATCAATCCCACTCAAATGCAGCTCTCTTTTAGCCGATTGCCATTATAAATACGCATCATGCGTCTGACCGTGCAGACCGATACTCATCGTCATTGTCCAGTGACACCCTTGGATGATTGTCCCTCAGACTTGTTTCTCCAGAGACGCTATGCCAATGGACGCTGTACTCGACTACTTAATACTCTTAACAGGCGCTGCCCAGTGAGCTCCTAGAATCCGCCGCGGGATTTTCACAGCCGGGTGTGCGGGCTCGGCCGCCGCCCGGCAGTGTACACGTGCTTGCACCGGCTCCAGACCGGTTCACCTGTGTATAAAAGTGCCGTGCACAACAGAGGGACCAGCAGTCGCAGCAGTGCAATCACTCAGCCAGGTAAGGTGCTTCTACCCAGGTTTGGGTCTGAGAGTGCGGTAGCTGGTGGTGTCATCATTATTGGTGAAACCGAGCTTACCAAGCATAGGTGGCACGCAGAGGAATTCGGGCTACACTGTCAAACGAAACGCAATTGGTTAGTTGAATGCGATATTGAGGCCCGAAAGCGGTCTGCTGCCTGTCTGATGTTGAGAGGGTGACAGAGAACCCGAGCTCCTTAAGTCCCAAAACTTCACCAGCTTTCAAAAACAAAACTACCCCTTGAACTGTTATGTACCAGAGGGCGTTGGGGGCTGGAACTGCGCGACATGAGCTTAGTGAGCATGAGGCACACAACTTGGAGCTCATTCATACGCTCTGCTGTTCAGTGCCGCAACAGACAAGGCTCCGTAAAATTTACCTGCTTCGGGTCTAAATGACGTAAAAATCGTAGTTATAAACAGTTGTATAGTTATAAGTGAGCTTATTTCATCATGCCCTAAATTTGCCTTAATATCTTCAAATGTGGGTCATTCCCTTTCAAAAAAGAAAGTGCCGTGCACTCGTAGTTCTCCTCACACTAACTAGCCACGGATGAGCATGTGTTTTGCTCGCCTTACCTTATTTCATGTCCTCGAGCCCGCGAGCTACGCGGTTGCCAACGGCCGTGTGAAAACACTATCATCGCTTCAGACGAGTAGCAGTTTGTTCGTGGTTTAACCAGTGATTTATGTTGCGACAGCCATGAAGGTCGTCGCTCTCCTGCTTGTGGTCTGCGTCTCCGTGGGCTGGGCGAAGCCTTTCTGCGTCCACGGTATCTGCTTTCCTACCAGCGAAGCTACTGGGGGTGCCTCGGGCGATGTCGTCAGTGGTACAAGCATTGGCCCTCATGGTGCCACTAAGGTTACGTCCGTCAGCTCCTCTGCAGGGGTAAGAATGCGGAAAAACGTGAACTGTCAAATGAGCACGTTTGGCAAAGATGGGCTGAATTAATCTGTGTGTTGGCGTCCCGATAAATAGGAATGGAAGCACGCCTTAGTTTATTCAGTCGGGCTAGCTAATATTACATGCCTTTTGATAGACAGCAGACATAAGCATTACGTCGGATTCGATTACTTCGGAAACTCGTGTCATAATAGCACAACGTACACATGCATTGGTAATTGAGTAAAACTGAAGCAGTCTAGGTACATTCGGCAGTAACATTTACCTCGTTGCCTCGTATGGTCCAACACGATAATTCACTGCCAGCTTGGTTCACCGCCAGGGGTATCTTTCTTATTCAATTGGTGTAGCGTGTGGGGCATAGCGTGCAATGTACAGTTACCAGTGCATGACACAACAAGGCGGTGCTCTTTTGTTTTGACATCATTTCTTTTGCAGGGATCTGCCAGAGGACCGTGTGCATCCAGCTTCAATACGGGACATGCCGGATTATTTAGCTCACAGGATATCTATGGCAATAGGGAGAATGTCGACACTGGTGCCACCTCAATCCAAAACACCGGCTGCTGAATGACTCAGTCACAGTCATCTCGGCATGCGCCGCAATGGCACACATGAAACGCTTGTTACATCCACGAACGTTGTGATATCGGCGTCGGTTGTGACATGTGATCGAAGTTTGCAATACAGGCTTACCCCCGACATGACTGAACTCTAATTTGCTGGCGCTGCAGGCGTCAGTTGATGTATCTCCCCAAAAGAAGCAATACAAATATCGTGCAAACGCCGGTAGGCTTTACGTCATTGATTACTTGAAGAAGCAGCTTGATCGTGTATTAGAATCCACTTATAAGGACTGAAAAATAATTGGGAGTCTGCCATAGCTTATATTTGGCTAGGAGTAATGGGCTGAACTTACTTATTTTCTACTCCGGATCCGAGCTGCCGGGAACGTTTAAATTGGAGGATCCAATCACGCCATATACGATCAGAGATTGTGCGTGCATGATTGTTAATGCTCCATAAGGGGTCGCTACAGTTGACATTTCACTCCCAGGCACGTTCTGAAAACTTGAAACGAACATTACGAACATTATACAACCTGGTGTTTTAAAATCATGTGTGAATAGTAAGGGAATGCAAAAATTAGCGTCAGCTACGCTAAGCACATGTTTTCTATGTTTCTTCCCGATCGCTACTCCGCTTATTTTGACAGCCTTGCAACACTACGATGACTTCACTTGATATTTTTAACGTCTTGGACAATAACCGCGACGACTGCAAGCCACCGGAGCGCGTGCCGGCCGGCCCCGGGCCGAGTGCGGCGAATCATGTCATCATTCACTTGACGTCACGCGCGTCCGACAAGCTGATTGGCGGACCTGCGACGCGCTAACTGCGACCTCACCTCCCGGACCGCGGCAGCCCTCGGCCGCACGCCGCTCCCGCCGTGTGACTGCGCCACACATCTCCAATTTGTACGGTACGTAGGCTTTCTGTCCTGGATCCACTGTCAGCAACGACGTCTGCTGCCGTCGGCATTAACTTCGCCTCCGTCTCGCGTCGGGCTGAACCTCTGCCGCTCTCGTAGACGTTACAGGAACGTGATGCATGATCTGGCATTCTGAAAACGTGGGTAAATCTTTGGAGATTACAAAGCCATCGACACTCGTAACAACTTTATTAACAGCCACTAAATAGGTGTAATAACATGAAAGGAACACTTTTGTGAAACCAGGGTGCATTATTTCTTGAATGGCGATTTACCCCAGCCAACACCTTCAGAAATGTTCATGCAAAAGCTTTCAGAGTAAGCGTTAAAATATCGCGTGAAACGGCGGTTGTCAATGCAGGCCACTTGCTTAACGCTCGAAGGAATGATATACCAGCAAAACATTGAGCCTGGGTGCTCAGCTTGAGCTGCTTTTGATGTTTCAGATGGCAATGTTTACTCGTCAGACTCAGAAAGCTGGCATTTGAGCATACGGGCAAGACACCGCGGGTGATGCAAGTCGCTCTCCCGCGCATCAATGCGTCTTGTGCCTTGCCAGAACACTGGAAGTGGTTTTAGGGCAGGAACTTGCTTGCTTTAGCCGTTTATTGCTTTTACAACGTTCTGCAACCTTTTGCAACAATTGCTAAACTTGCCCTTTTAAAGCCGTTGGACCTTGCAAGAACACTGTGATTCTTGGGCGCTACCTACCCTTGTTTGGTCGTAAACTGTCTTTGTAACATTCTTTAACCTTTTGCAACAATTTTGATCGTTGAATTCCCGAATCTCGAAATATTGCGAAGTAGCTGAGTATAGTGATCCGTTTTCACATGCCCATTTCAATGGTACTGATACCCTCACGTATTCATGCAACTTGGCCATCTTGCAAGGCAAACAACAGTATTAGCGTGCTGCATCTCGTTATCTTTCCTGATCTGCATGCAAGTGTGAAGCTGGCCATTTCCAAAAGTAATAGCGGCGGACTGCGCAGCGACCAACCCCGGCCCTGATTCCCCGTTTCTTTTATAACGAGGAGTGATGGAGGAAACCAGGGTAGTCGATGCGAACCCATCCCCCTCCCTGCCGTTTCCAAATGTAGAGCCTCTCGTAAAGAAACAATAAAAGGGGTTCGACAACACTTTATCATTGGCAGTAAGTTGCATTTTGCCAAGTCAATAATCGGCTCTTCTAGGCCACGTCAAAGGTCAAATTTTCCTAAAAATCGAACTTATTGAACTTCGCACGCCATGACGTAGGAGATTATGCCACGTAGGGAACCGCAAGTTAAAGAGCCCTGTTTCTGCACATATTTATGATGTAGACACCCGTCAAGGTAACGGTATTATGCGTATCATCGGCTTCCGCCCGTCGCCCGCGCCAGCCGTAGGGCGCCGTGCAGTGTTCCTAAAGGTCACGAGCTTCTCAGAAAGCAGAATTGCCAGATGCATGTTTTATCAAATCAAAACACGTGGAATGAATGCCCCAAGCGACACCCTCTGAGGTAACTGTGGTGCGCATTTTAACACCAAAAATTGGTACGAAGCTTTCCTGTTTTTGACAAACGATGTTTTTTGGGAACACTGCTCGACGACCAACGAGAGCTGCGAGCGGCGGGGCCATGCTTTTATATTAACGGAGCCCTACGTAATAAATCGATGTTAAAAGCATCTGAAACTACACATCATTGAATCCTGATTAAGAAAGGAATACACCTCTCTTAATTTCGTGTCAGTGCGGGGCACGGTATCTCGCATAGCAGCATAGGAACTGCAAGCGTTCCATTTTCAGAGAAATTTGACCCGCAGCCTATTTCTACTTGGGATCATAGAATTTCCTCCCAGTTGCGAGATCTAGTCAGCCCAGTCAGTCAGCTGCACATAGGCTGTCTAACCTGCTGTCTAGAGCGAGCTTTTCCACTTTAAAGCATATAAATAGCTATAAGTGAGCTTGTTTTATGATATATGCTGCTTGCTTTAATATCTTTAAAAATGAAAAATTTATCTTAAGACGCGATCGGGTAGGGGTCGAACTGACCCCCGCGAAGGTTTTTTTCCAGAATGATTTCCGAACGGCGTGGTGTGGCGGCGTCATATTTTGAATAGCTGTAGGCAGTTCGATAGAGCATGGCGTAATATCAATAATTGGACATACCTTGTAAGGTCGGTGAGCTTTGGCCGGTCAAAGTTACGCCATGGATTCAGCGAAGGCAATTTCACAATTTCAAGGGAATCGTTCAGTCTGATGCAACAACGGAGCGTTAGACGAAGACGCACATCTCTGAGATCCATTCTTAGGAAACACAACAATGAAATGACCAAATTCCATTGACCTAAGGTCAGATACGAAGGTCAGACCAAGGTCAAAACCAACCTGTATCATTACTTTAGGGCTTGCTGTTTGCGGCAGTTTCTGGTGCTCATTCCGTATTTATTGATAACATAAGCCGCATTAGACATCTTCTATGGACTAATTATAGGTCAAAATAGGCCACTGGCCTGAAATGATTCAGCTCAACATTTCGTTTTTATCAGCATACTGCCTGTTTTAATCTTTGTGGCGTATTCAAATGCAGAAATCAAAGCAGTCTTCTATGATTTGGGTCACTATGACGTTCAAAATGTCAAATAAGGTCACTGACCTTGAATGAACATGTGAACTTTTGCTTAGAACAGGATTCTTGATTCTGGGGATAATTTGGAGACCAGCTCGGAGTTTGACCTTGTTTGACCTTATTTGACCCGAATGTCAAAACCTAGGAGGCTCAAACGTTAACCTAAGTGAATTGACCTACAGGTCAACGCATCCTGCAAATCCGATGTGTTTGCTCTATTAGTTCTTAAGATCTCAGCGGGGTCAAATTGACCCCCACCCGGGCGAAGGATACCCAACCGGCCACCGGGGTGTGTGTGAAAGACATCTAGCACAGTTCATTTGATGAAAACATAGGTAGGTATTTCATGCACGCACATGAAGCCTGAAGACATCCCAATTTTAGATCTGACATCAACCCCATGTTATTCATAGGCAAGCATTGTCTGGCCATCCAAGTATCGAAGAGATCCAACATCACTATTAGCTGGGAGATGAATTGAGTGTAATGGGTGGAGCAACATGATGGCCTTTGCAGAAACACCCAGAGGGTACCAACCGCACACCACCAATATAGTTACCTTAAGCAGTATTTTTGGCACAATTAATAATTGGCTTGCTGAGTGAATCCTGATTACATCGCTCACAACTTAAAAAAGTTTAACGTGCCACAATGCTCGCAATGAAATGCCCTCTGACGTCAACTGACCCTTAGTACGACCAGGCTCGGCCGCCGTCAGGCAGTGTACACGTGCTCGCACCGGCTCCAGACCGGTTCACCTGTGTGTAAAAGTGCCGTGCACAACAGAGGGACCAGCAGTCGCAGCAGTGCAATCACTCAGCCAGGTAAGGTGCTTCTGTCCAGGTTTGGGTCTGAGAGTGCGGTAGCTGGTGGTGTCATCATTATTGGTGGGACCGAGCTTGCCAAGCGTAGGTGGCACACAGTGGAATTCGGGCTACACTGTCAAACGAAACACAGTTGGTTAGTTGAATGCGATATTGAGGCCTGAAAGCGGTCTGCTGCCTGTCTGATGTTAAGGGGGTGACAGAAAACCAGAGCTCCTAAAGCCCCACAATGTAACCAGCTTTCAAAAGCAAAACTACCCCTTGAACTGTTGTGTGCCAGAGGGCGTTGGGGGCTGGAATTGCGCGACATGAGCTTAGTAAGCATGAGGCACATAAATTAGAGGTCATTCATACGTTCTGATGTTTAATGCTACAACAACTAAGGTTCCGTAAAATTTACCTGCTTCGGGTCTGTGCCTTACTTCGACCACCTAGCCTCCACGGAGTCATCAATCAGCGCATCGCCGCTCCAACACCTCACTCCTCCGGACCGCACGCCAACAAGCGATACCGGGAATGAAGTGATAAATTTAGCACGCAGTTTCCACCAAGGAATGTGACTCGCTGGTGGCTTTCTAAGGAGCTCTTAACCGGCACGCGTGCTCTTTTACTTCATCACATTCTTACAAGGGTACTTGAAGGCAGCGATTGACAGTTCAGGCTAGGTGAAGCTTGAGAGAAAAATGCATTGCATTTAACTTTTTCATCCCTCACGTTCAGTGACATATCGCCTACCTGGTATAAGCACATGCACCACGTTGTAAGGCATAAACATAC